CTGCTGAACATCTCCTATGAGCAAGGCACAGTGCTAGATGTTGGAAAATACAAAGTTAATACGAGCTGAAGTCCCCAGTCTGGGAGAGATAAGACATGTATATGCATACACACATACAATAAAGAACATAGTGCAAGGCTAGAGTGTGTTATTATGTGACATAAGACACAAACACAGGCACAGATGTGTGACTTCATTCCAGGAGCTAGAAAGGCTTAATAATCAGATCTCAGAAAAGTCAGAATTTCAATAAGCAGAGAAGGATGGGAATTCTGGATGGCTTGGCACTGTGACACTACTCTAGAATAGTCAAGAGCTAGATGTCTCAGGAGTACCTCACATGACACACAAAAATTCAAAATGGATCAGAGACCTAAAAAACCTATAGCTAAAACTCTAGCTCCTAGAAGAAAATACTGGTATAAGTATTTATGACTTCAGATTAGGCAATGGTTTCTGAGATAGGATATACAAAACACAAGCAATGAAAGAAAATTTGAGAAACTGGATTCATAAAAATGAAAAATCTTTGTGCTTCAGGGCTTCCCTGGTGGCGCAGTGGTTGAGAATCCGCCTGCCAATGCAGGGGACACGGGTTCATGCTCCGGTCCGGGAGGATCCCACATGCTGTGGAGTGGCTGGGCCCGTGAGCCATGGCCGCTGAGCCTGTGTGTCCAGAGCCTGTGCTCCGCAATGGGAGAGGCCACAGCAGTGAGAGGCCCGTGTACCAAAAAAAAAAAAAAAAAAAAAAAAAAAAAAAAATCTTTCTGCTTCGAAAGACACTTGAGAAAGTGAAAAGATAACCCACAGAATGGGAGGGAGTACTTATAAATCATATCTGATCAGGGACAAGTATATCTAGAATATATAAAGAACTGTTATAACTCAACAATAAAAAGACAAATAACCTAACTAAAAACAGGCAGCAAAGCTGAATAGATATTTGTCCAAACAAGACATACAAATGGTCAATACATATGTGAAAAGATGCTCAACATCATTGGTCATTAGGAAAAGGCAAATGAGATACCATTTCACACCTACTAAGCTAGTTATAATAAAAAAGACAGTACCAGTGTTGGCTAGAGTATGGAGTAACCGGGACCCTCATACGTTGCTGGTGGGAATGTAATAAGCACAGCCACTTTCAAAAATGGTCCCTCAAAAAAGGAAGCAGCTCCTCAAGTTAAAACATAGAACTGCTGTAAGACCCAGCAATTCCACTCCTATATATATGCAACAGAACTGAAAACATAGTCATATGCACAAAAACTTATATATGAATGTTTATAGCAGCATTATTCATAATAGCCAAAAGTTAGAAACAACACAAGTATTCATAAATTGATCAATGGATAAACAAAATGATCTATCCATACAATGGAAAGGTATTCAGCCATGAAAAGTAATGAACTACTTGATACCTGCCACAATATGGACAAACCTTGAAAACATTATGCTAAGTGAAAGAAACCAGACACAAAAGGCCACACACATACTATATGATTCCATTTATATGAAATGCCCAGAACAGGCAAATCCATAGAGACAGGAAGTAGATTGACAGTTGTCAGGGCCTGAGGTAAGGGGGTGGGGATAATGAATATAGAGGGTTTTCTTCGCGGGGGGTGGTTATAAATGTTCTGGAATTAGTGGTGATGGCTGCACAGCTCTGAATGTATTGGGTTGGCCAGAAAGTTCATTAGGGTTTTTCTGTAACATCTTATTGAAAAACCTGAACGAACTTTCTGGCCAGCCCAATGTTAAAATCCACTGAACTGTACGCTTTAAAATGGTAGATCGTGTGGTATGCAAATTATATTTCAACTTAAAAAGATGTCTTAGGAAGAATAAGATGTACTCTAATAAAAGTAAACCACAGAATATGTTTAGGATAGTAGCAAGAAAGATTTATTGACTTATACCTAGTACCTACAGACACTTAAGACACCTAATATAATCCAATGATATGGATTAGACAGTGATCAAAGATAAAACAGTCAAAGTGGAGCCAGGAGTGAGGCCAGGCCATGAGGTACGTGTTTAGTGTTCTTTATTTACACCTGGGAGTCAGGGACACAAGTCTAGATCTGTGCTTCCCAATAGACAAACCAAAGAGGGGGAAACTATTTAGTTATATATTCGTTAAGTCCATTACATAAATGTAAACTGACTACTCATAAAGAGCCCAATTATTTTTAATAAACATTTTCCAATTATTTTTGTTAAAATGACTTAAAAATTATTCTGAGAGACCTGATACACAGAATGCTGGAGGATACAGTGAATAACATCTGCAAAAGTGTCCTTATAAGCAACCAGTAACAAGTGTCATGGAGATACTTCAATGCAGATAGGTGGAATCAGACCAAATAATAAGGGAAAAGCAATTCTTAGGAAGAAGGAAGGGAGTGGGGGCTGTTTGGCAGAGTTGAGGCATGTCTGCCATGAAGCAGGCTTAACGTAAGAGGAGATTTTTATAGCATCTAGTATGAGAATAAAAAGCTCCTATGCTACAAATTCAAGAAAGAAAAGGCTGATTGTATTGTACTTTAGCCATAGTAACAAGTAAGTGCCAGTACCGGCTGTAAATTCATTCCAATCTATAAATGACAACTTAACAGTAGTAACTGCACTTAGGAAAGCCAGCCTCTCAGTGACAGCTCTATGCGCCTGACAAGCAGCCACTCAAATCGGGGCTTCAGGAAGGTAACTGTGATGACGATGGGAAAATACAAAGTGCAAGAAGGAAAAGTTTGGAGAATAATGCATATGCCTAAACATGAGATAAAAAGCACCCGACTTAAAGAGCTGGTAGTGGAGATGAACAGAAAAGAGATAAATTTCAGGAGCATTTCAAAGGAAGAATCAGATATGGCAACTGATTGGATGTGGAAGGACTCAGTGCCTGAGGGTCAGCAATAGCCCGAGTATAACCAAGAATAGGGAATTCGGAAAGGAGAGTGGATTCCAGAGTAAATGATGACTTTGGTTTTAAATGTGGTATATTCATGAGGCTGGGGCTTGCGGGGGGGTTCCTTCTATGAAAAATAGCTACCAGGCCTGCACCTCAAGAGAAGGACTGCCCACAGCAGAAGCCATGAAAGCACAAGGAAGGGCAGATAAAGAAAAGAAGGTGGGTCAAGGCAAAATTTAGAGCAGTTTCTTCAAGTGAGCTGTGAGGGCCACTTGCATCACACTGCCCAGGCCCACCCTTGACTTCTAACTTTTTGGTGGAGCTTGGAAAGCATTTTAAACTTGCCTCCCAGAGATTCTTACAAACTTTCCAAGTGTGAGAACCTCTGGCTCAGGGAATGTGTACATTTAGGAAGGAGGGAAAAGAGGAAATCTGAGAGATTCTGCTATCTCTAAGAGTATACAAAAAAAGTTGAGAACTTTTTCGGTTTCTGTATGTCTCTTCTTCAGTTTCACAATCTATTTCCTATGCTGTTTCAACCAAGGGATCCAGTTAACTCCCCAGGAATATTTCTTTCTTTCTTTCTTCTTTTTTTTTTAGTATTTATTTGGCTGCGTCGGGTCTTAGTTGCGGCATGCGGGATCTTTGTTGCCGCGTGCAGGATCTTCATTACAGCTGCGGGATCTTTAGTTGCAGCATGTGGGATCTAGTTCCCTGACCAGGGGTCGAACCCAGACCCCCTGCATTGGGAGCCCAGAGTCTTAGACACTGGACCACCAGGGAAGTCCCCAGGAATATTTCTTTATGAGAACAAGCTCTGTAGTGCTATCTTCCTAGACCAAATGGAATTAGGTACTCTTTTCTTTGGGTTAGAGAAGCTATAAAATTTAGCTATGAGTGAGTTAACATTACAATGGCCAAGTCCGTGGCTTAATTCATCCCAGATGAAGTAAAATAATAAAGGGAACTCATTGAAAAATTTTTCATTTTAGAGAATCAATATATTATCACATATACATTTTAGGACACTTTCATATATGAAATTTAAAAATCTTGATACATTAAAAAATAAAAATCAGGGACTTCCCTGGTGGTGAAGTGGTTAAGAATCCACCTGCCAAGGCAGGGGACACGGGTTCGAGCCCTGGTCCGGGAAGATCTCACATGCTGCGGAGCAACTAAGCCCGTGCACCACAACTACTGAGCCGGCGCTCTAGAGCCCGCGAGCCACAACTACTGGGCCTGTGTGCCACAACTACTGAAGCCCGCATGCCTAGAGCCTGTGCTCCACCAACAAGAGAAGCCACTGCAATGAGAAGGCTGTGTACTGCAATGAAGAGTAGGCCCCGCTCACGGCAACTAGAGAAAGCCCATGTGCAGCAATGAAGACCCAACGCAGCCAAAAAAATAATAAAATTAAATAAATAAATAAATAATCGAAGAACTCTTTCTCTTCTACCCACCACTTTGGATCTCATTTATTAAACAGCATTTCTTCTGAGCACAGGCTCTGACTCCCTAGCAGGCTATAAGAATCCACTACTGGGGCTTCCCTGGTGGCTGAGTGGTTAAGAATCTGTCTGCCAATGCAGGGGACATGGCTTCAAGCCCTGGTCTGGGAAGATCCCACATGCCGTGGAGCAACTAAGCCCATGCGCCACAGCTACTGAGCCTGTGCTCTAGAGCTGGTGAGCCACAACTACTGAAGCCCGCATACCTGGAGCCCATGCTCCGCAACAAGAGAAGCCACCACAATGAGAAGTCGGCGTACCGCAACGAAGAGTAGCCCCCGCTCACCCCAGCTAGAGAAAGCCCACATGCAGCAACAAAGACCCAACACAGCCAAAAATAAAAACAAATAAATTAATTAAAAAGAGAAAAAAAGAATCCACTACTGTGTTGAAAAGTAATTCAGATATGGGTTTTAATTTTTTTTTTTTTCTGCATTGGGTCTTCGTTGCTGCGTGCGAGCTTTCTCTAGTTGCGGCGAGTGGGGGCTACTCTTCGTTGCGGTGTGCGGGCTTCTCATTGCGGTGGCTTCTCTTGCTGTGGAGCATGGGCTCTAGGCACGTGGACTTCAGTAGTTGTGGCACACGGGCTCAGTAGTTGTGGCTTGCGGGCTCTAGAGCGCAGGCTCAGTAGTTGTGGCGCATGGGCTTAGTCGCTCCGTGGCATGTGGGATCTTCCCGGACCAGGGCTTGAACCCATGTCCACTGCCTTGGCAGGCGGATTCTTAACCACTGCGCTACCAGTGAAGCCCTGTTTTTGTTTTTTTTTAAATACAGGTAAATGACTCAGGAATCAGCAAACTTGGATATCTACATTTAACCTCAGAGTTCTTTCTGATAATCTAATAAGTGAGTTATTAAGGACTGTTGCACTTGACATAGGACAGTATTTTAGAATATAAATCGCTATGTATAAGCTCATAGTCTTCTCTTTTGTAAAAATTAATAAGAACTTCCCCCAGGTTTCTTTCCAACTCTTTCTTACCACAGGGTTCTTTTCCACAGAAAAAAATGGATTAGTGGGTTACTGTTAAAACCATTTGCTCTAAATTATTACGATTCCTGGCTTGTACATTAAGTACCAAAGTTAATTTCACAGAGTAAGACCCCTTTATTCCATAAAATATATAAAAGATACCCAGAAAGAGTCCTACAGAATAGTAAGTGATTCATTCAGCAAGTTATATGCTTGCTAAAAGCAGTCAAATAAGTCAGGATGCAACCTAAGCCAAGAATATTGAAAGCAGAGGCAGGGAACTACATACCATAAGTACAAAAGTAAATTATAAGCAAGTATTTAGCATAAGTAATTTCACCCAAGAAAGCAAGCTCCTTTTCTTTTGTTCTTTTTCCCTTTTCTTTGGGGTCTCTCTGAGGTTTTTTTAAAAAAATTTTTTATTTATTTATTTATTTGGTTGCACCAGGCCTTAGTTGTGGCAGGCAGCCTCCTTAGTTGTGGCACATGTGCTCCTCAGTTGCGGCTCACTGGCTCTTTAGTTGTGGCAGGACAACTCTTAGTTGTGGCATGCATGTGGGATCTAGTTCCCTGACCAGGGATCGAACCCAGGCCCCCTGCATTGGGTGCATGGTGTCTTAACCACTGTGCCACCAGGGAAGTCCCTCTCTGAGGTTTTTTTTAACAGTTGTTGGCTCCACAGAACCATGCTTATTAAGGGAAGGAGATTTGAGAAGTAAAACAGATACAGAATGAAGACAAATTAAAAAGCAAAAACAAACCAACAGAAATCACTGCCACATGAAAAAGGACAAAAATTTAAGGACAGAAAAGAGATTAGAGAGTTACTGAAAAAAAGCAAACAGCATGAGAGACAGTAAATAATATAGATAACAGAAATGACCAAAAAAGAAAAAAAAAAAAAAGGATAAAACTAAAACCATTAGGGAAGGATATCCACTTCTTCCTTACAGTTTATGAAAATGCTAGTACTAGAGCACTGGAGAAATGCTAATCTAATTGTGAGCAATTACATTTACAGTCCTACTATGTCCTTGGGGATAAAGGGTAAATTTTCACTTAAAAAACACCCAGGCCAACTATCAATTTACAGGAAATTTGAGGACCAAAGGACACACTGAATGACAGCACAGGATATAATCAGCAAAATCCAGACTGTGGGAAACTCTTCAACAAATAAGTTGCAAGGGAAGAAAAGATACTGAGGGGAATTTTTTTTAAAAAGAGATTTAAAAGACAGCAATGAATTATAATAGATGAACTTTATTTGGATCCTGATTCAAATAAACAAATGTAAAAACAAGTATTACTTTATGAGAACATTAGAAAGTTGAACACTGACTAGATACTTAATAATATTAAAGAATTATTGTCAATTTTTTAGATGTGATACTGATATTATGGTTATTTTAAGAGTCCTTATTTTTGACACACATACTAAAACATTTATGGATAAAATAAAGGAATATCTAAAAATCTGCTTAAAAATAATCCAGGAGGGTGCAGCATAGACGAAACAGGATTGGCTATGAGTTGATAACTGTTGAAACTAGATGATGGAAACTTGAGGGTTCATTATACGAAAAAAGTCTCTCTATTCTTGTATTTGTTTGAACTTTTCCATAAACACACACACACAGACACAGAGGAACACACACACACACACAAAGATGGATGTTAGTGCAAATTCTTGATTCTGAATTCAAATGTGGCCAATGACAATAGTCAGAAAGTATCTGCAGCTCTAAGGACAGCTCATACATAATTCTAATTGAGAAATAAAGGCAACTAATTAATATGAATGGGGAAAAGAAAACACTCTGACATAGTGGTCCTAAAGTTAAATTGAAAAATGCTGATTTCCTAGTTGGCATCTACTGAAGGTTTTTATTTACATTTCTAGATCTGAAATGAAAGTAAATTGTGGTAAGTGTTGTGTTTAGAGTTCAGCTGTTGGATGTGTACATGAAAACAGTTAACATTCCATTATCAAATTATAAATGTGCTGACAAAACTTAATACAATAGGGTAGAAAGGAAAGTAACAGGTACTTACCAGCACTGCATTCCTGGGCTACTAGGTTGAGAACTTCAACAGCTGCTGGACACTGCTGTATGAATTCTTCACAAAATAAGCTGTCTTCTAAAAGCTGGGCCATGACCAGGCATGCTCTTAATGTTAAAAGATTTACAATATTTCAAAGTCATCAATGGTCATTCTCTAAAAAGTCAACTGTGAAAAACATTTCAATCAATTTTATCCTCTAATTTAAATAAGGTACAAACTCCCCATTCCTCTTGCTTTTTTTCTGAGCTGGACTGGCTGGGAAGTATATAACTTCTCTTTTCCCCGCATAGTAACTGCTGACACTGCGTGGACAATCGGAAAAGGGAAAAATGGCTGTCATTTTTCCCTAAATGAAGTCACCAAGTGCCAGGTGAGAAATCAGCACCATCTCTTAACAGCTCTTCCTAACCGGTGCTCCATGGGCAATATTAACGTTCTGGGAACAAGAGAGGTCCAAACGCTTGGGAAATCTGTATGCTGATCTCTCTCACCTAACTCAAAACACATATTAGAACTTTCTGACAAGTTTCATTGTCAAAAGAAACTTGCTGTTGTTTCATTGTAAATAAATGTATTTTCTTTCCAACTCCAATACTTGCGAGCATTCCCTAATTTTCTCCTCAGCAGTTTGGAAAGCAGATGGACCAGATAGGTACTAATGTGGTCCAAACCACTTTAAAAAAGGCAAAGCTGCAGAAGAATTCCTGTGACAGGACAAAGTTCTTTAACCAAAGCAAATCAGTGGAGCCTTATGTATGTGCTCTATATATCAATCATATTTTGTTTATTTACTTTCTTAGGGAAACAGCTAAACTTTATTTCAAAGTGCAGAAACTGGGGAATGCAACAAAAACTGTAGTAAACATAGCACAAGAGGATGGTTTCTGTTACTCAGTTTGGCATGAAGTTCACGCTGTGGACCCACTTAGCCTGGTGCAGAGGGGCACATGGAGGACCCCTGTCTCTGTGCCTGCACCACCTCAGCACATTAGGGAATCTTTGGAGGGTGCTCACCTTGTTCTTATTTCAGCCAGGAGCCGAACGACTGCCATCACAGGAGCTGACCCATCTCCTGTTGCAGGAAGTGAGGTATGAATAGAGAGACTTCCCTCCTGAGGAAGCAACATGGACTGGACTGCCTGTACTACCTTCTCAGTAATGGACAGTTTATGAAGAGGCAATGCCTGATGGCGGTGGGGGGAGGGGCATGGCAAAAAGTTAAATTCAAGTAGTTAGTTTATAAGAAATGAGGGTGTTATTATCATCTGGAGTTAATTCTCAAAATTTCAGTTAAAAAGAATCAAATCACCATACAGAATTGCAAGCTAGACCCAAACAATTAAACATACAATACACTGTGGAATATTCCAAACCGAAGAAATGAATTTTGTCATCTAGGTAAAAATTTCCACACAAATGTTACTATTAAATGGTTATGCCCAATAGGTAAATACACGTCACCCAATAGGTAAATACACGTTAAGTAAAATTTAAGAAAACCAAGTATTTGTGCTTCTGTACTGTGTATGTGCATATTACTCATTACAGTACGGTTACCGTCTGCAGTAACATTTTAAGATGCATTTAAAAATCACCTTACCTCTGATCTTGGAACACAAAGTCTAGACAATGGAATAGTCAGTGTGTCTGATGCTTGCGACGTCTTTCTACAGTCTATGGGTGGGAATTTGACTGTAGCTATACCTTCCTGTTCATTGATAGAAGCCACTACTCCGATGCTTCCTGATATTCCTCTACCTAAAACCTAGAGACACAGAGGGATTAGCACTACCTACCGCTCTGATGGTGTGAGCAACTATCTGATGTGACAAGCGGGAAGAGGAAACTTACAGCTGTCATTACCGGCATTACAGTAATAGTTTCTTATAACACAGATACCAAGCCCTGAACATGAGTTAAAATAATAGGTCCTAAAACCTTATATCGAGGTGATCACAATATGATACAAATTCAAAATTTCAATTCTAAAATATTGCCAATATTAACACCACCACAGGACACAAGTATTGTAGTTAACATTACACGGTATTGTACTAATATCTGACTAATCTGCAGCATAGTGTGGATTAGAAGTCACGAGTTTCTTAGCTTAAAGGAACAAGGATTTTTGCCAACTGGGTGGATGATACTTGTCTTACAGATGAGTAATTAATCAATGGACTTATATAAAGGGGAAGCGATGACTTGGGAAAATGGTGGCTGGTTACCTGAACCTCAGACCCTATCTTGATTGTCTCTTTGAAGCCTCCAAGTGCACACAGTGCAGCGACAGCCTGGCGGGCGATTCTCTGAAGTTTGGCGAGTTTTCTGCCACTACTGCTGCCATTTTCCAGAATGCTTTCTGCATATTTCCCCAATTGTGGAATGTACATCAGCGCACGAGACAGAACCTAAATGTAAGAAGCAGCCCATGCAGTGGGAGATAAAGCTCTGGTTGTTTTGATACTAAGCATGATGCAGTGTCTACAACAGTGCCTGGGTCCCATGTGCTTAAGGAACTCTGGATATGAGAGGGATGAAATAATTATCAGGTATGACCACTGACATTCTTGGCATATTTGCCTTATGTGATTGGACAGAACTGGAAATACACAACCTCAAAATATGGGAGAATCAAACACTGTTAATAAAACCCCTAAACTAAAGCAAAAATTTATCTGCAGGAAAACCATAACAGCATACTGCCTACATCTCAACACCAAGTATCTTTAGGACACGTTATGAGGTGTTCACATCACGAATGACTGGGAAAAGGGAAATTGATTACCAAACCCTAGTTTTCAGGAAACTGAACTATTGTTTGTAAAGATGAATTACGGACAGAGCACTCAGGGAGTGTAAATCACACAGAGGCCTCCTTAGGACTTAGTAAGTACACTTAACAAATCCAATAAACCAAGGCTGCATTATTTCCTAATGTTAGTACCTATCGAATACAAGCAAGAAGGAGAAACAAGGAGTGCCATTCTTTTCCTGAGAACACTAGCCTGCCTTCTGTGAAATCAGAACTGGCAGTGAAAGGGGATGTGGGTTAACAGAGTTGAAGCTACTGAATCAAAGCAAATTTCAGGGGAAACACGGTTAACAAGTATATCTGGCCAGTTTGGGAACTCTCTCTTTGTTAGAATGTCCTTTGCTAGAACAGAACATTAACTTCTGTCTTGCTTCCTCTTTTAAGCAGCAACAGCGTACTAGCCTTCTCTGCTGTCGTGGTCCATATCTGAGCAGCATTTGACTCAGGCGCCATCAGCAAGCTGTGAAGCAAGGCGATCACTTCTGCAGCCATGCTGTTTGCCACATGCCCACTGATGAAAGGTCGGACAGGGTCGGTCCTGCAAGTGTCAACAGGGAAAAGTGTCAGTGCCCAGTGATGGTGAATAAGGCAGACGAGTGGCTTCAGGCTTGGCACCAGATGCAAACATTTTCTAGTTATAAATACTGGAAAAAGTGGGTTTTGGTGACTCCCATTCTTTCTGGTAACTGAAGAAGCCTTGGAAACAATGGACCTCAAACATTTAACTGTATAAACCATCGTGATCAAGGAAAGGACCTACACTACATCTGCCTCTGGCTGGCAAGCACAGAAGCTCACACAAACTTCCCAGGGGCAACACGCATTTATCTTTCCTCCAACTAGAAAGAAGCTTCTGTGTACGGTTGGGATGGTGACAAGTATCGTTTGGATGAAGTATAGGCAGCAAGGACAGAGTTTACTATTTCTACTACTCAAAAAAACTACAGCTGGTGTTCCTGGTGGTGGCCTTTCTCAGAAAAACAATCCTCCAGCCACAGATGTCCACTCAGCCTAAGCCCTCAGTCCTCATTTCCAGCAGGTCAAGGGGAGGATATAAAATTAAAACCCTCAAAACAAATCCTTTACAAAGTAAGTCTGAGAAGAGTGCAGACAGCTTCCACCCTGTGAAAGGTTTTACCTGGCAAGTTCAGAGTTCCTCTCTCGGCAAATGGAAGTTTGGGCGGTTTTCTTCTTGTCCCCTGTGGACAGTCCACTCACAGTCTCTGGGTTGAGCGATTCCACGGGTGGCCCGACGCTGACGATGAGGCCTGACTGTGCCCACTTGGTTGCTTTTCGCAGAGCAGCTGCCGCCTCTTCTGTAATCACCTCACAGCAGCCACCCTGGGGATCAGATTGAAGACATTCATGATATTCTTTTCGCTCTTCTCAGCACTATACTTTAAAAAATCTGTTTCCCCTAATCCAGGCTCATTTTTATAAATTTCTATAAATTTTATAATATTAAAATATTATATGTAGAAAGTTAAATCTCCATAAATATCCTTTGTCCTCACCCAGCCAGAGGTCACTGTTAGTCCTCTAGAATTTTTTCCATGCAGATTCTGACATACATAATCATAGGCCACGCTACACAGTTTTGATTTCTTTTTTATCAGTTATCAAAACATCATGAATTGTGATCACTGATATGAACCTGATACCATAAAATATCATGAATATCCATGTCTATATATTTAGACCTAGCTGATTATTTTTATAGTTGTACAGTATTTCATTATATGAATGTAATAATTTCTTTAACAAATCCCCTATTTATGGGTACACAGATTCTATTTTGTTTTTTACAAACAGAACTGCCAAGGACAGGCTTGTCTCTGGATACTTAAAAATGCCTATTTACCCTCACCTTGGCAATAATGGGTACCATCAATCTTAACATTATCAGTGCGACAGGTAAAAATGATAAACTACTACTGTTTTATTACTTCCCTTTAATTATTTATCGTGTAATCTGTGAGCCTGAGCATATTTTTATATTTTCACGGGCTTTTTTGTCTTTATTTCTTATTATCTATTATCATTACTCTTTTAACCTTTCACCCTATGGTCACATTTTTTTGGGGGGGGGATCACTTTTAAAGTATTTTTAGGCTGTAGAACTTTCTTAACAGAGCTAAGAAAATTTCTAGGTCAAAACCAAGAGTTCTCTTCTACATTTTAACATTAATGATACATTGATTTTGACTAGTTCTCTTGAAAATGGCCTCAGTTAAGCCACTATCTTCAATTTCTCACCCTGTGGTAACTTGAAGTTAAAAAAAAAATTTCTCCTGAAAACATGAAGCCTGGCATATGTTCTTCGACTGTGGGTCTTGGCGGAGCAGGTTCCTTCATATTGGGGTTACCTTTGTCATGTCTCGGTCCATTTTCACGACTTTCTCCATGTTGGCACCAGTACCAAGTCGGAAGGGCCGTCCTTCTGAGCTACTAAAATGGGAAGGCAGAGAGAGGCAATGATTTTACAGGCATGGTCACAGGTGGGGGAGGCCTCAGTGAGTGATCTAAATCCCAAAGTGAGGGGATTTTAACAACAGCCTGGATTGCTGCCTTGGTGTGAATGACTGGATCTTCCTTTCTAATAATTCAGCTCCCCCTGCCTCCTAAACCTGGCTCTCAAAAAAATCTTTCACCAAATTTGTACTATGATATTTCACAGTGCCCAGGAATGTTCCTTGGAAGTTTCTTCATCTATGTGCTGACTTGCCCTGACCACGCTTAGTCTATGCCAACAGCCTAGTAGTACTTTCGGTTGCCATGATGGCAGACAAGGGATCCAATTATGAGGATGACACCATCATTCAATCATTTATTTGGAGAGAGGACTCTTCCATCTGAGACACAAACACCTCTCCTAAATTCCTTTGTACTCCGCGGGATCTTCTCGTTGTCCTGGATTCCACTGACAGGGCCCTGTAGATTTGTAATCTTTGGACAGTAATTATATATTTTTACTTCCTTGTTGAGCAATCATACCATTCATCCTTTGATTAAATAAAGCTATAAAAAAGTTTCTTATTTCTTCACCTCACAGTCAATGGTATCCCTAAATTTACTGATGGCTGAAGGATGCCAATAACTGAAAACCAAGCTGCATTATTCCTTCTCAAAGCCCAGGTCACACTATAGACTCCTCATAGGACACAAATGATACATTCTCAACAGGATTTTCACTCTGTTGGGTCTGGAGAGACAGTACCGAGTTGTGGTTAAAAGTTTGGGTTCTGCATCAGAGGGACCTGCATTTATATTTCAGCTCTGCCTTAGTTTCTCCATATGTAATGACAGGGATAACAGTAACATTGATTACCTCTTAGGGGTGTTAAGAGGGCTAAGACAGTTGATACCTGTAAGGGGCTTACTCAGCACAGTGCCTGCGACATGGCTAGTGCTTGATGGCATATAGCTATTACAATCATCACCTTAGTAATGGCTGGAGAACTTCATGGGATGACTGGTCTTCCCGCTTGTGGATAAAGATAGAGAGCTTGCCATCCACTGCTTCACTCTCTTCTCCAGGGTCTTTATCTCCTTTTAAGGAACTCTTGGGGCTGATTTTTGTCAACGTGGTGTCAGGTTCAGAAGCAGTTGGAGAAAGGACTGTCTGACACCCTTTAAGCAAATAGAAAAATTGCGAAGTTGTTTGTGCGGCTCCCCTGTATAAGGAAAGCACTGGCTTTGGAATCTCTCTTCCTCCCTCTCTCCCGCTCTGTCCCTTCTCCGCTCTCTCTCCCTTTTATCACAGGAAGCACAGTTGCAGTTGTGGACAAGGGAAAGCTCGGTCTGATCGTCCACAGGAAGTGAGCGCCTCAGTGCCATTCTTCCGTCCAGGAGGCTACTCACCTGGGACCACGTAATCTGCTAGCTTTGCTAAGAGCAACGAGGCGATCTTGGACGCTGGGTCGCTGGGATCCTCTTGCTCACTGTTTAGGGAGGGGACAGAGTAGCTCCAGGGTGGGAGCTCCACATTCCCACAGTCTTCTACGCTCATCAGCGGGAGTGCCGCCCGGCACAGCTGAAGAATGATAAGAACCAGCTTTGGGGATGGGCGTTGGTCAAGCAGCAGGGAGAGGAGTTTGGACACACAAGCTGGCTGGCTCAGGATGGCTTTACCTATGTGACTCCTGCAAAAGGAGGGAGAAAAGGACCATAATGCTGAGAATGTTATCTACAGAAATTCAGAAGCAAAAGTTCCCTAAATGAGGTTAAACAAACTGATGACTTCATATTTAATGAGGAAGACACAGATTTGGCAATATGTTTTTATGAAGGAGAATTAAGGGTTTTTGTAAACATCTGATGAAAGCTCATAATTGACCAATAATACTTTAAAAGATTTTTGAATATTTTCTGATGTTTATTTAATTGAGATCCTATAGTTCAGCATGATTCACAGAACACCAAGACTTAGAAACCCAAGCTAGGAGGCTTTTAGTTTAGTCTTTTATTCCTTTTTAAGAAGTGCTTCAAGACCAAAGAGATCATACAGTGTTGTACTGGCCTCAAGAGACTGGGATCTGCCACAGCTGAACCTGTTACATTTCAGCAGAAACCAAAGAATAAGCAGCCTTATGTGGACAAGCTTTTGTGGGCCTCACAGCTCACACATGATTAAACCTCCACAGAGTATCTTCTTTTAAAGATACAGCATGAGAAGGCGAATTAATTACAGGTCCTGGCTGATTATTCTTTAATCTTGCTATAATGAAGGTAAAGATGTTTGGTTACTGAATGCAATTGTATTGACTCAAAAGGCCAGCAGCTGTTGCCAGTCAAGTATTGAAGCAAATGATAATGTTATTTTACGATGTAGATATTCACCTAAATAATTTTCTTATTTTGGAACTAAATGCTATTTTTCAATGACTTCATCCTCTGCTATTTTTCTTGATGCAGGAGCATATCAGGATGGCCTAGTAAGATGTTTCTAAAGACAACCACCCACAAAGGAAGCCAAATCACTCAGAGGAAAAGCCACCTCCTCCCACAGCTCCAGCCAGGCCTTCCTTTTTTTTTTTTTTTTTTT